AATAACTTATATAGTACTCCAATATAATGTCTATTTATTATTACCATTGAAGAAGATAAGAAAATATATGGTGGATCAATGTGCATGACAACAATAGTTGAAAAAGATAATGCAAGTTATAACAGTAGGGATATTTTTGACCAAAATAATGTATAGTACAACTCTTATAGCAAGTAACGGAAAAACGGACATATAAATGAAAATTTCATTCACACTTATTAATTTTTATATTTTAATTTTTTTAATAATATAATAAATGGTGGCTACTCGTATTAGGTACCCACATTTGAGGCGAATTTTGAAAAAGTCTACATGCCACGAGTCAAGGGAAGGTCGGGGTGGGAAAAAAAAAAGTATAAGGGTCAGGTATTCAGGTGGTAGATGTAATCATTCATAAATGTGGTTTTTTTTTTTTTTTGAAAATCCTAAATGTCGTTTCTAATACATGTTTTTTCAAACTTGAAAATTAGCAAATCTTTTAAACATTTTAAAAAGAGAATAAGTTTGTGTAAGAGCAACTCCAAGGAGACACCATTCCACAAAATATCAATGCCATTGCACCATCCCCTCATTTTTTGGAACTCCAACTCACGGCAAATCGCCAAATAATTTGGCGATGATGAACAGTGATGCGCCATATTTGGCGCAGCACTGTTCATCCACGGCATTTTCCTAGAAAAAATTTAATTCCTGTTTTGCCCTTACTTTTATTTGTTAATTCCTTTTGTATTCTTTATTTTGTTTTTATCTATTTATATATTTTGTTAAATACTTAAATATAAATATTATATTATTATAAATAAATTATATCATTTGAAAGATATTATCAAGACGATTAACACGAGACTAATATTGAATATATATTAATTAAAAATTAAATAAATCAAACATAATAACATCATAAAAATAATGTTACTAATTTTTTTTTTACATCACAAATTATTATATTTTATATTAAACTAATTAAATTCGAATTAATAAAATTTTAAAATTAGAGAAACCATATTATTTTAGTGTAGAATAACATTTAATGTAAAAATTTGGTGTTTTGGTGTAATGGGTTGGAGATAATACTATTTGGTGTAGAGAATATTCTCTTTGATGTGACATTTAGTAGAGATTTTTGGTGTTTTGGTGTTAAATGAATTAGAGATGCTCTAAAATCGTCACAGTTAAAACGTATAATATTTTTTAATTAAAATATAATATTTACCTGACCCGGTCCCAATGGCATTATTTGAGCGGCAAACGTCACTGTTTAGTAGTTGGCAGCTGCCATAATTAGCCGGCATTATTCGTTTCCCATCACACCAAGGAAATGATGGTCCAATTAAGCTACATCTCAATATCTTATAATTTTTTGAAGAGTAAATACTTAAAATGGTCCCTCGACTATAGCTAAATTTATAAATTGATCCTCGACTTTCAATTTCAACCAATTAAGTCCTTAATTTTGTAATTTTAACACAATTTGGTCATCTGTCTATTTGACCGTTTGTTGACTGTGATTTTTAGGATATATATGTAATTTCATGGTCCATCATTGGTTTTTTAAGGTTCCGGTTGCATTTCCAGACCGCACTGTTACATTCGAATCCACTGCCGAAAGCAATCTACCAAATCTGATCTCCTTTCTTCATCCTCCCTTTGGATTCAATGTAGTAGAGTTCGTACCAGAGCGAAGAAGACAACGTGTTTCCGAACCGGTGCAACGTCCTCCTGGAGGTCTGCACGTGCTCCGACGAGAGCCGAAGGTTCTTCTGGAGATCGTCGATCACGGTCAACAAACGGTCAAATAGATGGAGGACCAAATCGTGTCAAAATTGCAAAGTTAAGGACTTAATTATTTGAAATTGAAAGTCGATGACCAATTTGTGGATTTAGCTATAGTCGAGGGACCATTTGGGTATTTACTCTTTTTTGAAACCCTCAATCCTTATCTGAATATGGACCAAGAAGACTAATAGATCACTCTCAATAGGAGTTAAACTTATAACATTATGGTTACTAAGTCAATACCATGATCTATACAATAGCGCTGATTTCTTCCAACTTAATCAAAGATCTTAAAACTCATGAAAGAGTGTTTTGTGACAAATCATACAATTGACTAAGGTTCACCTTGCATCATGAACACTGGTCCAAACGACATTTAGATTATATAATTGTAATTAATATATTATGTACTTTCGATTAACAAATTATGTTGTACCTGTAAATAAATTAAAAGTCGGTATATAATATGTTAATTATAATAGGTATATAATTTATTAACTAAAGGTACATAATACATTAATACGTTAATTATAATAGATACATAATTTACTAACTACATGTACGTAATATATTAATTGTAATATATATATATATATATATATAAATTAACTGAAAGTATATAATAATGTAATATATTAACTATAAGTACATGGACAATGTAAATCTTGGTTCACAATATAACAATTGATACGTGTTTTGTGATCCTTTAATTTTAAATATTTTGTTATCCTTTGAGGTGTAATCCTAGCTAACTAGTCGAGATGGTCAAACCAAAAAATACAATATCCACTTAAGAATGAATGGTAATAAAGAAGTTGTCAGCAGAACAATAGTTATATCGTGGAAGAACATGCATCCAAACATATCTCTATTTTTTTTTCCTTATACTTTTTTCAACTTAAATTTATTCTCATTTTCTACCAATGAAATTAATGTATAAATAATATATTATTAAAAAAAGTCTAATTGAAATCTTTTAAAAAATAAATCTATAAGTACATAAAGTTATTACTTTAGCGTAATGTTTACGTACATTAAGCTTTGTTTTTATAAACATATAAAAAGAACATTAGAGACCTTTTATGTTTATGAACATATAGAACAAATATTATGAACATAGTACATGATGAGTGTTATTAAACATGATGCGTCTATAATATAATGTTTATGTAGATTAAGCTATGTTTTTATGAATATATAAAAGTAACATTATAAACCTACTATAGAATGAATGAAAATACATATGATGTACGTTTATTATTTAGTGTTTATGAACATTACTGTTTAGGTTTATTGACATAAACAAACATTACTGGTGGCTAGGGGATTGTTCGACGGAGGCCGATGAAGGGTCAAGTCCAACAATTGGTGGCTAGGGAGATGGTTGGGCAGAGGCCGATGAAGGGTCAAGTCTAGCATTATTCATCTACCCAACAATGTGATGTCGGTATATAAGGAAATAAAGTTGCGTATTCATTGTGAGCTATAGCTTTTGGCATAGAACCCTCATCCACCATATAATTTGCCCCTAAAGTATTTTATCTCTGGACCAGCAAAAAGTTTAGGGGGCTACTAGACCGGCAAATTATACCGTGGACCAAGGTCTACCTTGCATTGTGGACCCTGGTTCAAAAATAACCTTAAAATTACGTACATGCATTTGACACATTCTGTACATTCAGTTAACTATTTCTATACCGGTAAACAAATTAAATGCACATCACATGATAATTATATACACATAACATAATAGTTACAAACACAGACTATTAACTGCATGTACAAAATATGTTAACTACAGACACTTAACATATTAACTAACATGTTATATGTCTGTAGTTAACATATTATGTACATGTAGTTAACAATTTTTGTGTCAATGGTTATCATATTATGTACCTTCAATTTGTTTACAAGTACAAAAATTATATTGTTTATCGCACGTAGTGTTGCAAAAATCCCGGCTAGGCACTGATTAATCGACGCTAGGAGCTGGCCAGCCGCCTAGCATATCACCATAATCGGTGATCTAGGCGGCCTACTAGGCCGCCTAAGCATCGCCTAGGCGCAGCCTGCCTAGGCACCAACTGGGCCGCCTAGTCGACCGATTAGCTATTGTTCCCTTCTTTTTTTAATGGGTTATTTCACTCGAAATGACATCGTTTTGAGCAAAACAACCCTAAATTGTTCGAATGTCTTTTAGGTTAATATTTAATATTTTAGTATTAACTTTTAAAATATTAAATAGTTCATAATTATCAAGTCTTAAAAAATAAAAAAATAAATAAAAATTAAACAAATTTTTTAAAAAATAAAAAATAAAATAAAAATACACGGACGCCTAGGCCCTGATTAATCACCGCTTAGGCACCCCCGAGCGCCTAACGATTTTTTCAATGCAATATAAATCCTGGTCCATGGTATAACAATTGCTCTCGTGTCGAACCCTAATAGCTATTGCGTGGACCATTATCCACATAGTTGTGTAGACCACGATCCAAAAACGTCATTTTGTGTAATTTTTTTCACACGACCCACTGCAACATACATTTTTGTAACTCATAATGGACATTATTCTAAAGTATATTGTACATTATTCTAATACATAAAGTACATTTACCTAAGATGTACATTATTCCAACACATAAGGTACATCATTCTAACATATAAAGTACATTATTCTAGCTCATAAAATTCAACGTTTTTTTGGCCAACATTTTACCATTTAATTGGGCCAGACCAAAAATAAACTGCATAAATAGGTAAATGTAAATGGCCTATTTAACATTTTTTCCTAATTTATTTTGTTCTTATTTTTTTTTTAATACTACTGACTCCATTACAATATGATACTGGTTCATAACTACTTTCTCAACCAAATGAAACACAAAACGCCTCCACTGAAGCTCGAACCCACAACTTCCCCAGTTCCCCTATGAAGGAGCAACTTGGTGCCATTAATCCGTCCTTGGCTTATTTTGTTCTTGATAATTTATCATGTTTTACACAATATGGAAGTATTACTATTTGAGACACCTAACATTTTTCCTTTTTATTATGTATTTATTAGTATTTTAGTCCCTAAATGGTTAGAGATAGAAAAGAAAAGAAAAGAAAAGAAAAAGTTGAATTACAGATCAGAGATCACTTACTGCCATCTGGCTTCGACCTTTTTCTTGAATGAAACCCCCACGCTTTGTTAGTTATAAGGAACAGCTTCAAAGTGGCCGGAAAATGGATCACTTGAATATTGACAGTAATTGCAACTCAGGAATCTGAATGTTACATTTCCAGTTGGATAAATACAAGCAATCCATAATACCATTGAAATTCATGTTCATTTCCCATTACAAGAGGCCTCAGATTGATATGTACTGCCTTGAACAAGTAGACGAAAACATAGGAGGGAGAACAAGCACATGAACAAAGCAATGGTGAACGCAAATCATGTCAGTTTCATCAACCTTCCTCTCCAAACTCCTGTGTAAATCTCTCGTGCACGTCGAGATCAGATTTGCTCACTGTCGGCCTTTGTCGTGCAAGCACCTTATCGAAATCTGTCTTTGTAATGGGTGGGGGAATGATCTGCAAGGCATTAATCAGTGGAAAGAACCAATCAGTTATAAAAACTTCAGAAATCTTTAGTCTCAAAATCACTACCAATATTTTATCATTCCCCACGGGGACAAGTTTAGCGTTGATGGTTAGATTGAACATTTATGTTTATATATTATATGCTCAACACACACCCAGCCGATTTCTTTTGACAAGATTCAAGCAACACGTGGACCATAGTCTCATTTTATCGGGTGGCACAGAAATTCAAACTCATGACTGGGGTGATGGGGTTAGCTCTGGTACCAAATTGAAACATGTGCAGATCTTAACTAAAAATCTAAGCTGATAGTTGGATTGCAAATGTTTATATATTATATATGCTCAACAAGAACAATGAGAAAATAATCATTTGAGAAGTGCTAACTATAGGGGGTATATGAATAGTAGCACCTTAATCTGTCATGTCATATCAAACATATATTGCATCTGGCCTACATCCTAGTTACCATAAATCTATAGGGGGCACCAATGAGTGAGGTTGATCCAATCCACTCACCCACTTACCATCAATGCCCATTATTTCTAGTGGGCATTATAAGCTCTAAGAATGAAATCAAAGATGTGCTTTGATATCCCAACTAAAACCACACCGCCAGTAAAAGATGAGATGTTGAGAAGAAATGACCAAAGATATCAACTGACTTTATAAACTGTGTTGCAATAACATACCTTTGAAGCAAGCCCGTTTGCAGCAAGCTCTTGGATATTTGTTTGGACAGCACCTGGTTGCTTTGGTCCACATGGCATCCATGTATCATTAGAAGTCTTAATGAAGAACATAGCATCTTGTGTTTTACGAACAGGTTCAAAGAGGACATCTTTAACCTGGTGAAGTAATGAATGAAGTGTATGCATTACAAGGGAACACAATACATCGTAATCCAACAAGCTGGTAACACTCAGCACTTACACAAACAGATATATCAGAGCCAGAAAAACCTTCCGTTTTATGAGCCAAATCTTCGAAGCCACTTTCACTCAAGTCGTGAGGGGTGTCCCCTAAATGAACCTAAGTAATTGACACAAGCAACCCAAAAAAGGTCTTGAAATCCTGAATAGTAAGTCAGCCCTCTCTAAAATAACTGAACTATATTCCAACAGAAAAGGAACAAACAGCACTTACTTTGAACATGTGCTGCCGTGCCTTCAAGTCTGGTAGAGGGATGTATATCCGCTTGTCAAATCGTCTCCTAATTGCCTGTAGAAGACAACTGTTAGCACAACTGTTAAAATCAAATGGTTATGCCATTTACAATTAATTAACTATTTACCTGATCAAGAGCATACGGAGTATTTGTGGCTGCAAGGACAAGAACTTTATCATCATTATGTCCAACCCCCTGCAATGATAATGTGTACAGAAGATATGCTACCCTCCATAACCTGAAAGAATATACACACACACACATAGTATTGGGGTAACTGTTACCTGCATCTGCACAAGTAGCTCTGTTTTGATACGCCTGGATGCTTCACTCTCATTTCCTTCCCCACGTTGTCCACACAAGGAATCTATTTCATCAATGAATATAATGGAAGGAGCACTCTCACGAGCCATTTCGAAAAGGTTAGAAACAAGCTTTTCACTTTCCCCCATCCACTTTGAAACAAGGTCAGATGATGATACACTGCATAAGAACAGTTGGCACTTGCCAACTTTATGGCCTAAGTTTCTTGATAAAGATCTATGAAAGTATACAACGGAAAATGGTGCATAACCAAAATTTTCCACTATGGGAATATTCAGATTAGGCACCATGGTCTCTGTTACTTGCAGAAAAGTATCAGAAAGAAGATTCTGGCGTAAGTGAATAACACGTGAGTTGTAAAACAGAATATTAGCATAAGATAAATGAAATGATAGGATAAGAGCGGAATAGAGGAGAAAGTGTGCATGACTGAGTAACAACAACAACAACAACAACAACAACAACAACAACAATAATAATAATAATAAGTGAAATCAACCTCCATCCTTACAGTAAATTCTTTGGTCTAAGTTTAGACAAATATTACCCCATCACCCCAGGAATTCTGGGTGCACTGCTGTACACAACTGAAATGAAAAGAACCCCTAAGGGATGCCAATAAGAAGTGCAGGTAAAGCTCAACAACTATATTAAACTCTGATATCCAATGGGAACAAAGGAGAAAGCATTTGGAGTACTAACAGTTAAACTAATATGAAGTCTATAAGTTTAGCTATTTCTGTGCCCAATGATTTATCTTTAAGCTAGACTAATGTAACTTGAACTGAAATGTTTTGATAATTTGGTATTAAAATAAAATTTAAAAAAAAAAAAAAACATAATTTATAGAAAAGATGGTTGTTTTGTAAGGAAAGCAAAAGGTCAATTTTGTAATTATATTAAATATTAAGGTTAAATTAGTAACAAATAGTACAATTGGAGAAGCATAATGCACAACATCCATCATTTCTTAACATTAGAAGGCCTAATTGTAAGATCATTCCAATGTACAATTGCATAAAGCATATTCTAAGATTGATGCAAATATATAGAAAGTCAACTTAATCCCATTTAGTCATTCACCTTTATAATATAGAGATACATACATTTCAAGAGATTGTAAGATGGAATATACCTGAAAAATGTTGACTCTGCCTCAGTAGCAACAGCCTTAGCTAAGTAGGACTTCCCTGTTCCAGGAGGACCATATAAAAGAAAAGCTCTCCATGGGCGCCTCTTGCCTATAAAGAACAAAAAGTTCTCAGATTGTAACTGATATAAACCAACAGTATTTACATGCCCAATTCAAAGAGCCACGACATTAACAAGAAACTATAGCATTAGTAAATATATGCTTAGAAGCATTCTCTTGACTCATCCTCTTCTTTTTTGGCAGGGGTATGGGAAGATACAATCATTATATTGACAAAGAAGAGAAAGCAAGAGTAATGATAGTATTTGACAATGCAGTAGATTACAGTTTATGATGAAACTATGAAAGTTCTCACCCCACACAGGAAATATCAATGCTTGTAGATAAGACCATTATACAAAAACAGCCAGATAGTCTTGTCATCAAGGTTGACATCACAAAAAGAAAACTTTCAAAGTATGTTGCAGATTTTGACTTCACTAGCTAATGGTAATTTTAATTGCTGAGAACTACCACAACCACATAAATTCTACCATACACTTCCCGCAGCCTGCAAGGCAGTAATTCATTCTTCATAAGTTAGAGCAATATCACTGATTCTTAGAGTCATGGTGATACATGCTGGGAGGTATGATTATTTAGGAAGTCTTAATTTTTTAAAAATTATATTACATAGCTTAGATATTAAGAAACTAGTAAATAATTATTTAGCTTATTACTTAGTTAGTTTAGTTATTTAGAAGCTACTAAATAGTTATTTAGTTTATTATTCTTAGTATTTTAGTTTAGGCAATTTAGTTATTTGGAAACTACCATGTAATTAATCATTTCTTAGTTTAGGAATTCTTGTAATTAGCCCTATAAAAGGAGTGTTATTTAGAATAATAGACAAGCAGAAATTCAATCCCAAAAGGGGTCTAAAGGGAGTTTTGGGTCTCAAGAAAACCCAGTGTTTTCTTTTCCTTAACATTCTTTTCTTTTGCATTTTCTTGTCCGTGACAAAAGTACATAATACATGGTTCATACTGTTAAAACAAACACTCTGAAAACAGAGGCAAGGTTGAATGCTTTTTCCTTGCCTAGACCCTACATCAAGTGGGAATCCTTGTGCACCAAGTCTGAAAATGTTTTAGTTCCAGAAAAAAGACAGAATGATAGAAGTTTAATCAGCATCACATTAAACAAATCTCTTTTTTATTTTATTGAGTTTTAGTGAGCCTTCCCATTGAGCTATTGAAAATCACCATTTTTGAATGATTTCTTTTTTCTTTAGTGATCCTTTACTTCTAGACTTGTAGATACTTAAAGGATAAACACGTCATCAGAGTTTTCAAACAGTGCCCAAAGGTCCTGCATCAAAGCAGGAAAGGGAGAAGGATGAGATGTGCTCAAATAATTATTGGACTTAATACAAAGAGCATCTACGCTTCAGTGCCATCACAAGAAATAAATACTAAAGATAATAGGGAAGAACTCCAAGAAAATATGTTCATCCCAATTCCCACCTATCCAAATCCACCATTAAGCTTCAGGCATTACCAAATCTTCTGACCACCTAAGGTAAACTCAAATTTGCTGAAAACAAAGCCTGCACATATTTCACATAGTGAAGTTGACTGGCATCTCAAAGTAGCTGATCACTAATCACTAATGGCTAAAGTTATACTATTTAGATATATAATTCAGAGCTAAATGGCAACATAAAAGAACTAGAAACTAAATAAAGTAATCAACTTTACCTATAAAACATTCCATACAGACAGAGAAAAAAGCAAAGAAAAGCATATGGCTATTGCAAACTCACCAGTGAAAAACTGAGGAAACTTAACAGGCAAAATCACAGCCTCCTGCAAGGCCTGCTTGGCGCTCTCTAGCCCGGCAACATCACTCCACTTGACATTAGGCTTTTCTCTAACGATCGCCGAGTTGAGCCCAGCCCGGAGCTTGGACTGCTCAGGATCCTCCCCGTCCTCCCCATCCTTAGGCTTGGTCTTAGACCTGGAAGCCACGGCCGCATCCCCGTTGGAAGCGGGGCCGGGGCCGGTGCCGCCCTCATCAAGCACAGCTCGGATCTCCTCCGCACGGCGCAAGTACTCCGTGAACTTGTGGGTGATGGCCTCCTTGATCTTGGGGTTCTTCTCGTACTTGAGGTGAGTCTTGAAGTATTCCAAGGCGTTCATGTACAGCGGGAACGCCTTGGCGTAGTTCCCCGCATTGTCCTCCTGCACCGCTTGCCGCACATACTCGATCGCCTGCTCTTTGAAATTGCTATACATCCTCCTCGATCATGCGTGTGTAAGTAAACACACAGAGACGAAGTGAGGAACCCTAGAAACTGGTGGATTGTTTGTTTAATCGATGGATATCAGTAACAAATTTGAAATTCTTGGAACCCTAGAAATGAGGGGCTTTAGATTTAGGAAATGAAATAATTTCGGATAACTAAAAATAATAATCAGAGTTTGAATTTGAATCATCAAAGTATGCTGATTGCTGATTCCATAGTTGTTAAGAATGGTCTGCTCTAAACCAAGGTGCCCCCTTTCTGCCTTCTGGAACGCAATACCGTACTTCCGTGGGAGACTAATAATTAATTAATTATTAAAAATATTTTGATATTGTTTTGAAATTGATTTGTTGTTCAATTTTATTTGGAATACTCATTTTAAATATGTACATTGTGTTTTGAAAAATATTCAATAAATAAATAAAAATTGTAATAATAGGCAAATTATATGATTAGAGTAATGATCACACACATAAATTTTATAACTATTTTCGGTACTGATAAGTTACTTTTTTCATATAAGTCTCAATACAAGTGCTCACATCAAGATTTTGTAAGTGGGAATAAAAGTTGAGAGTAAAAAATAGGAGTACATATAATATTTTTCATTGCAGGCCTATTTCGTGAAGACGCGAAGTCGCAAACTAAACATGCGATTAGAGATCAACTTTGATTGATGATAAGAAAGACTATTATATATTATATACATTTTTAAAAACTATATTTACTTTAATTGTTCGATAAACAATTGAGCCTTTCAAAAAAGCGTATTAGATTAGGGTTTTTCTTCTTTGGTATTCTACACGGCCGCTGCCTCCGTGAAGCAAGTCGATTGGAGGCGGCGTTTGATCGTCTTCTCCTATTACTATTTTCACGGCAGACAGCGTCCGCCTTTACCATTTTCTCCTCCATCTCCATCGCTACCAGTCGTTATTACTCCACTATTTCTACACTGTTGTTTCCCTTTGCTTTGTTTTACTGGTTTAATTTTGTATTTTTTTCTCTCATTGTTTTGACGAGTTTCTTCCTCTCGTTTACTTGGCGAGTTTTTTATCATAAAGTGTGAAACGATAAAAATGGTCATGGCGTATGTGAATCTCATCTTGGGTGACAAACATGACAATGAAAAAGAGACTCCTCTGAACTATGATATGCAGTTCAGCCCGATGGAGATATTGTCAATGGATAAAAGAATGGAAATATATACTCAGGTGGTGTGCAAGACTATTCAACCAGTGTTAGTCTTGGGTACGTTTGACCGCAAATTATGCCATGGAATCGTGTTCACCGAGAATGGTGAACACAAGGCAAAACGACGTCGTTTTTAGGCAAAAAAAAAAAAAAAAAAAAAAAAAAAAAAAAATTCACGGATGTGGAGTTAACGGCGCCATTTGATCAAATTATGAATTTTCTGTTATGAGATTATGAATTTTACTCATAACAGAAAATTCATAATCGCATAACAAAAAATTCATAATCTCACAATTGAAAATTCATAATTTCATAACAGAAAATTCATAATCTTATAACAGAAAATTCATAATCTCATGCTTCCAAAGTGAATGTGTAGGCATGGTTCCAAAGTGAATGTGCAGGCATGGATTCATAATTTATGAATGTCCGTGATTTCGGACGGGAATATGTAGCCATGGCTCCAAAGTGAATGTGCAGGCATGAATTCATAATTTATGAATGTCCGAAATTATGAATGTAATGAAAATTCATAATCTCATAACAGAAAATTCATAATCGCATAACAGAAAATTCATAATCTCATAACTGAAAATTCATAATCTCATAACAGAAAATTCATAATCTTATAACAGAAAATTCATAATCTCATGGTTCCAAAGTGAATGTGTAGGCATGGTTCCAAAGTGAATGTGCAGGCATGGATTCATAATTTATGAATGTCCGTGATTTCGGACGGGAATGTGTAGGCATGGTTCCAAAGTGAATGTACAGGCATGAATTCATAATTTATGAATGTCCGAAATCTTTGTTCACCTCAAATTAAAGTGAAACCGCAAAATGTGAAAATAAAGAAGAAAAGTCACGCAATTAATTAAGAAAAAAAAAGAAAAAAGGAAGATAACGGTGTACTAACACCGTTGGAACCGTGTTCACCATGAATGGTGAACACGGTTCCATGGCATAACGTCCCACGTTTGACCACATTATTAAAGAAGCTTTAAGTTCCTTCAAAGAATTTAGTTTCAAATTTGTGAAACAGTCTGCGAATCAAGTTTTCTGTAACATTGCTATGGAAGTTGTTTCTACGTCTGACAAGGAATGTTTGATCATTCCATGGATCTTTATTGTAAATGTTTCAATCTATGATCAATGAATTAGATTCTTTATTTTCAAAAAAAAAAACATATTTAATTTAGAAAAAATATTGTGTATAAAAATGATTATATACTTTTTTGTAAATGAAAATAATTTTTTCACATAATTTTTGTTTTAATTACAGTTTTAGCTCGTTTATTCAATCATTATATCGTGCACCAGGGAGCACAATCCATTATGCGTCATGGCCAAAACAACGTCGCTTTTATGAGTTATGTGGAGAGTTGACACGACGGACACCGTTCCGTCTGTCCAATCCCGTTACAGTTTTATTTTTAAAACACTTATGTTTATGTATGTGTATGTTGGAAAAAAATAGCATTAAAATGGCATAAAATGACATATTAAGTGGCTATTTTGTGGTACAATTATCAGTGGGGTCCACTTCCGATTTGGGTCGGGTCAAAGTGGATTCGGGTTCTTCGTAGTGAGGCGAAGAGATTGATATATTGCACGCTCAAAACGGATAATGGGTGAATGAGATATTGATTCTCAAAGTAGACCCATTGAGTTGGAAAAATGTAAGGGAAAAGTGAGCTTTGTCCCACATTGTTTTGGAAAGAGGATTTCACCCCCCTTTTATACAAGAGTTTTTTTAGAGCTTGTAGAATTGTATAGCATAGAGGCTCTCTCGCGCGCAGGGGGGGGGGGGGCGGGTGCAAATCAAATTCCAACTAGACGAGATTGAAAAAGGCTTGATTCAAGCCCGAGCTCGTGTGCGCCGGCACGAATGTCGTCCGGAAATTGATCTCTCGTGCGCTGTCATGAGGTTACACGAGAGTCAAACTCTCGTGTGACACGAGAGTTCAGTCTCGTGTGCACTGAAGCACGAACTTTCGTGCATCCCGAAAGTAACTGAGTTGAAACAGCGCGGACCATTTGTTGGTTCTGGACTGTTACAGGATTAATCTGGTTACACGAGAGTCAAACTCTCGTGTGACACGAGAGTTCAGTCTCGTGTGCACTGAAGCACGAACTTTCGTGCATCCCGAAAGTAACTGAGTTGAAACAGCGCGGACCATTTGTTGGTTCTGGACTGTTACAGGATTAATCTTGTATTAATTCCACCTTTTGAATATTTGAGTTAAATCTCAATAATGGTGGCTGTTTCAGGTGTTACAAATCGTGGATTAAATGCTAAACTAAATGTTATTGATTCCTCACCTCCTATATAAGAAGGGGTGTAGCAGCAGTGTTTCTACACGGATTGAAAACAACACACACAACACTGAAATTCTGTTTTCCCAGCTCCAAAATCTCTGCTCCTACTCCCTTCTTGTAGCTGTGTTCGTCCCATGCTCTTGTTCGCCGGGTTCGTTCATTTGGGTGCTCAAACGTCGAACCGTTGTACGTTTTATCCTGGGAAACCTAGGCCACAACGCTCCTAGCACTTTTGGGAGGTGGCAAATAAGGTTTTAAGGAAAGACAGGCACCTTGCCTAACTCGTACATTTCCTTCTTCTTCTCCTTCTTTCTTGTTTTAGGATTATGCTCTAAGCAAAAATCCGTTCTTTCTTGTTGATTTGGAGTTATAATCTAAGGATTATAAGTTCCTTTTGGTTGATATATATTGTTATATCTTTCTCGTAGATATATACGTATATATAACCTTTGGATCCGTTTTATATATATATATATATTTGTGTGTATATATATATATTTCGGATATATATATCCAATAATATTTTATATATATTTCGTGTGTATATATATAAATATTATTTTAAGGGATATTAAATCGATTGTGGTTCATTATCTCCAACAATCTTAAAACCTTATTTCTTTTTGATAATGAACAAATCAGTGGACTCCAAAAGTGTTGGATCCGTGAATGCTGCTCGTGGTGCACATTCAAATGGTCGGAACGGCAACAATGTTGCACATTCCGTGATGCCAGTTGATGGCAGCAACGTTGGAAATAATATTTCCATGGGAGTTGCAAAAACACACGATGGTGCTCCGGAGAACTTTGGTTCACGATCCGGTAGACCTGTGGCTAATGGCACACAATTGGTACCTATTGTGTTGTCTAGTGGATCGGCTAAAAGCCACGAAGGATCCTATGATGGTGTAATAACTACATGGTCTGAGGACTATTGTAGTGTGACCAATGACTTCAACCATAATCAAAGGAAACTTAAGCGGAAGCTTAGCTTTCAAGAAGATTACGAGAAGAAGGAAAAATGCCACTATGAAGCGAACCGTCATCCTGGTGAGAAGGTTGAGGACAATTTCGCTATGTTCAAAACATGTGGATGGTTGGACGAGTGAGGTCACAACCGAGGTACCCCCGATGTGCGTTATGGACCACCCTTCGTGGAGTGGACGGTTGGAAAATGGAACAAGGCACACGGGTTGAAGGACTACTACGAGATAGGAATAAGGAATTTGTTTCCTATGTAGTTTTTCCTATTTATTTATTTTGAATAAATATTGTAGTATCCTTGTAATATTTTTATTTGAATAAAAATATAATTGTTCCATTAAGTTGAATCTTGGTACATACAAATTATTTGCTAGAATAATGTCAAATGTATGAAATGATTCAATATGGGTGCGTGGTGCATCACGGGGCATTATGTGGAAAATGCTAAAATAGCTTAACAGCCGGAACGAAATGTAACAAGCGCGTTACATGTTGAAATTCCGTAACGAACTTCGGTTCTAGTTCATGTAGAACGATACGGATTTCAAGGATCAATTTGTCAAAAATTGGAATAACTATATAATCGTGAGCGTCACAGCTCATGTGTTGAATATTTTAAATAATATTCTGAGAACGATTATATGAGTTTGATTCAACTAGTGGGAAATTTGGTTGATTTGTTCTCGTTAATTATGTTATAATTGACTTGATCAAAAATTCCAAATTATACTAGTATATTTATTTTGAGACAAATTGTGTCTTGG